AGGGAAATGAAATTGCTTCTTTAGCATTAAGGAGAAGTTAAAATAAGTTAAATTTTGTTGTTATTTTTAAATATATCTGGTCAAGATAATTCTCCAAAAAATAATAGCTAAGTTGGTTATGGATGTCTGACAAGCTTAACAGCATTAACATAGTTCCCATCTCTTCTTAATATAATTATTTGCGGTCAAATTCAATTTCCATTGGATAAAGAACAACAATATTATTTGGTTTATGTGTGAATAACTTTGTTGGAATAGTTATTAATTAGTCTGCTAAAAAAAAGAAAAAAACAAATCGATAAACAACAGGAAACATTTGTCTTTAATGAAAGCAGAAAAATATTTTTTCTTGTGTTTTTGTCTGTGGTTGAAAGAGGACAAAGGTGAGAACTATTCACTTCGCATTTCCAACAGAAACTTCAATTGTTCTGAAGTGATAGCTTTTGGTAGAAAGAGTTGTCCTAGGGTCTTCCTGATTGATCACGTGGCTTTTCTGGACCTCCGTCAGTCATGTTTATTTCATCACTTGTCACTCCAAACCGTTTTTTCCCCTTTGGCTATTCTGAAAAGTTTTTTCCTCCTCTTTTTTTACAGGTTTTTTTCCACTAAATCGTTCTGGGAATGCCTGGCTATGTTTAGCGTAGGAGAATTTGATTTCTTTAGTAAATAGTATAGAACGAAGTGAATAACGAAGAGGACATTACTGCTGATAGGCAAAAGGAAAGTATTAGAATAAGTGTACATTAGTGTGATGAATGATACAAGAGTGACGGGTGGAGTGTTAGTGAAGAGGGCGGAGTTGGCAGATGTCTATCTGTACTAGTCAATACAGTACCAAATATTGCTTTTTTCCCTACTTACAGTTCATCCATCATCGTTTAGACTAACCTAACTTAGAAAAGAACAAAGCATATTATTAATGGGTGAACTATTTCAATAAAGGTGTCGAATTACGTTTAACAACTGTTCAAATTTTTTTTTACCTTTTAATTTTTTCCCAAATACACGTTACTCTATTACTCATCGATTCTCTAAACCGTATAAAAAACTTGTAAACGCCGTATACGCGTTACACTATGTACAGTACAAATTTAAGCCTGCGATTAATGCCAGCGATTGTATACGAAATTGTTAATGAAAAATGAAATAAAAAGAATAAGTAACAAGTTTTAAGAACAGACAAAAATAAACGGAAGCGGAAGTAGAAAATGATAAGCCACTTTATATGATAGACTATGGTGGATCAAATGATGCAATTTGGATCACCAATAAAGTGAACTATGATTGTCTGGAAAATTGCCATTTGTGGCATCCGCAGTGTGAACTAAAACGGAGGGAAAAAAAGGAAATATATCGGAAAATAACAATGTCATTTAAGGATGCCGATCCTATTGGCATCCCAGTAACAATATCTGTATCAGATGTAACTAATTTTGACACGTTTCACTGATTTATTTCTATCGCATTAACTTAATTTCCCGAAGAAATCTGAAACCGAATAAAATACTAAAATAACTTTTATTAGTAAAGAAAAAGTTCCCAGTTTTATCCTTAAGGAGGAAGGGAGAAAATATTTATATATTAGTTTTTTTAAGTTTTTATACACTTAACTAAACGTTTGGTCTGCTCTTAATATTACTTACCTATTAGTTAGATTTATTTCTCTTTTTTTAATATCCCGATCAAAAGCTATATCATTTAGCTAATGCAAATATTTAATTATAAATATGGCATTTGATAAATCGTCTATTGAGCAGTTTTATATGTAAAAATATTACGTTAAAATATCTCCAGAAAGGTATTTTAACCTATTTTAATTCGGTAATTATTTTCTTTCTTATTTTAAAATCCACACAGAACGTGTTAAAATAACATAAAGTATTGTTAAATCTATATTTTTATTGTTTTAAATATAACATTCTTTTCTTAAAATAAAATATAAAATTTATTTAAGTTATAAATTTCTGAAATAGGTAAATTTCGTGATGCTTTCAACTTTTAAAAACGCAATTTTTAAGCAGTTAAAAAGGAAAAAAAGTTCTTAATTTGAATATATAACATTCAACTTTAGTTAGTCGTCGGCTTTTTTTTTTTTTTTTTACTTTACCTTTGAGGAGAAAATTTGCTTTTGAGATATTTTCAAAAAATATATATACATTTTTTTTATTTAAATATTCATACTTTATAAATTTCTCACAGAAAAATTTACATTTTAATAATTTAGTAATGTCAATATCGTAAAAGTCTGATTTAAGTGTAAAATATTGAAAATTTTCTTGACTTCATAAAGGATATTTTAAGTTATAAAATACTGTTTTTGTTTTATTTACTTATAAAATAACGCTATTAGGAAATTTATTGCCGAAAAAAAGGAAGTTAATGGTGTTTAAGTATAGACAATTATATAGGATTTTGGGTCAATACCTATAGACCTTGAATGTAGTTCTGTCATTGTTATGATTGAGCTTTCATTGATCGTCGGTTGTCGTCACAGTCGTTGATACGTCGACCTCTAACCTAAAATGAGATTAACATGAATGTCGGGATCAGTAACACAAATCATCATCTGGGAAACTTTTTGAGACATTCGTTTTGAATTAAGCATGATAGAACGCAATAAAAGCATTAAGAATGCGGAAAGAATATCAATCTGTTAGCTGATGACTCGTAACATTACAATTGGGAACAAGCGCGCAGCAAAACAGTTAACAGCTTAAATGTCATTAAAGTGGATAATATCTAAATTATTATTTAAGTTTAAATTTGGTATTTGCGTGTCGGTCGAAATATATTTTTTCTTTTTTTTTCCGAACAGATATCTGTTTAGTGCGCATATTTAACGATGAAAAAATTCATTCCCTTTAGGAACATTATGCAGATCATGAAAGAATTACTCCAAAAGCTTCATCGTTTATTCTAGATTATATCTAGAATGAGGCAATTGACTTATTACTGTGATTTGATAAAAGATAACTTTGCTTTTGTTCCTAACAAAACTTCTCATTGTTCATTCTAATGGCGTTCATTTAATTTGTGTTAAATTTATCGCGTTTTATGATCGAATTTAAATAAGAGAGGATTTTTCCCTTTGATCTTTATGAAGGATAATTAGCATACTTTTAATTTTTGATCGTTATCGCTATTATTACAAAATTCGTCGTGCGTTATAAAAGCTTCTTCAAATTTCTCTATAAAAACTAAAATATAAGCTAAAAACTGTCTTTATTCACTCAGAAAATAAGCTTAATAATCATAACTTTTACTTGACGTAGAACGTGCCTTATGAACAATTAACTGTTCTACTTAACCATTATGTTTAGTTTCGAAAGTAAAGCGACGAGCAATCACCTCTGCTTATAATTGTTTATATGTTACCATTAATTTTTTTACGGTCTCAAAAAGATACAAAAAATTACCTTAATAATGCTAATTAATGTATAACTGCAAATTTTAACAATTTAGTATTATTACAAAACACCGTAACGAGTAATTGCATCAGCCGATTTGTTAAACTTTAATATTTAATAAGTTAATTATAATTAATGTAAAAGAATGTGTTCCATATTTCACTCCGTTTACAGAATTTTATAATATATATTGTGAAAATTACACGTCTCCTAGTTAATTTTAATCTTTATTTTCATTCTAAACTTGTATTGTAACGAAAATTTTAATTTATAATGGATGAATTATCCTTCGAATAATATTTGTTTCCCTTCTGAATTAATTGATATTACCACATGTGTAGACATGATAAGGAAATTAGGATTACTTTCCTAAATTTTGCATACTTGTATATCGATTACATTTATGATGTATTGTACTTAAAATATATCCCGTTTCATCATGCTTACGGCTTATAAACCGCTTGGATATCTTAAAAAGATAAAATTTAGTTAATATTTTAAATAATCCAGTTAAGGATAAAAAATTGTTCAAAAGTAAATTTTAAAAAATATACTGATTAAGAATGTTAAATTGATATCTTTAAAAGTAAGTTAAGGCAGGAGAATGTAATGTAGACCTATATGTGTTGTTCTTTGTTCTTAACTGCACATATACATTTCTCTGTCCTTAATTAATCTTGTTAGTTTTGATTAACATTAATAACCTATTTAACGGTTGATTGTCGAACAATTTTGCTAATTTAAGCTCCAGCATTGAGAATTATACCACCGAATCAATGTCGAACTGTATATCTACAAGAAATAAAAGAGGGAGAGACGTAACTGACTTAAGACAATTAGAGAGTTTTAAAAAATTCGAGATTTAAAAGCAGAAATGCTATTTCAATGCTACATATTTTAAAAATTGTTGATTGTAGAAATAGTACGAATAGTGGTTAATTATTATCCACTGATTATATCTTTAGAGGTTAATTGAAATCCTTCATTAAAATCGCGTCAATTGGCCGCAGCTGACTGAGATGGGGTTAAATTGAATGGTGACAAAACCATTTCTTTGTCATCTATCTATTGTTTCTGTCCAAAACATCTCTTTGATTGACATTATCATTAGACCACAGTCTGCATCGTAATGACTTGCTGAAGATCTAGAATAGCGTAAGACATCTCCACTATAATAATTAAACTTCCAACAAAAACATCTCATTAATCAAAATATGAATGGACTTTTGTTGTGTGATCGGAGAATGTGAATGGACTTATCCTCCAATACGCATAATAAACGCGTTATGTATTTTACTAAGTTTAAAATTTCGTCTAAGTTTCTCGCTCGAAAAGTTTGGTTACAAGAAGATAAGAGGGAAAAGAAAAAAAGTCAAAATGAATTTAGAGCCTATTCCTATGTATCATCAATACGATCGTAGTCGAGAATACACGTTGCGAATTGGTAACATAAATCCCGCAACCGAAAAATCGATGAATGATATTACTCGTGTCGACGAATAAAAAGTGAAGCTAAATGCAAAGAAACACGAACCTTTTTCTGTATTTTCAGCAGGGAAGAAGACTTTTATATTGACCTTCTATGCATTATACAACAATAGTGGAGTAAATTAGATTCTCTCACTGCTGGTAGAGGGCGATCTTGTCGTGTGGCAGTTAGGACGAAGGAACACACGAGAACACACGGATTAGAGCTGTGGCGAGCGACTTCAGCATGTTGACTATAGCATTGGTGCTCCTACTTTTAAGTAAAGGTGAGTGCATGCCAGATATCGAATGAAAATCTTCGCTTGTCGAGCAGATTTGTAGAACGAAATAAAGCCTTTCTAGCGTGAGTGTATCTCCTTTTTCAAACTTCTAAATTTTAAATTTTGCGAGACCAACTTGCGAAACGGATTAAACTGAAAGAGAAAGAATTTTTGTATAAACGCATATATTTCTTTTTTTCTCTCTCTTCTTGAGATTGTTTAAGGTATCGATTTACTTAGTAATGCTTTAGATAATAACACGATACAGTATTATCCGGTGTTTGAGATTAGAGGGAATCAGATCGAATTGGGATCGTGCGAGGTCCCAGAAGTCGAGTTGACCCTCAGGTGCAAGAAGTGATTTATCCACCGAGCGTGGAATGTAATTGGTTTGTGAAGTCTAACACCCGATCCTCGTCTCAATTCGCATTTATCAAGAATCACGTGGGTTTTAGTTGTCTCATCGCGAAGAGAATTCTCTCTCTTCTCTTTCTGTTTCCTTTCCCCCCTCTTAACGGGAAACGTTTTAAATTCGAGATGCGAGTTGTGCTCGTAAAACGCATTGTTAGCAGCAACAATCTTATTTCGGCTTGTCGCAATGAGTGCCAATCTTAAATGTCATTTACGATTCCAATTTGCATTGGCGAGAGAGAGTTTGTTTTGTTAATGTCCAAAAATTCCAGGAACGAACGAAGGAGGAGGAAAGGAGGATTATAATTTTTAAAATGATAATAACATTTGGTTTTCTATAGTTTTCTTTGGTAATTACAATTGTTTTTATTTTTTATTTTTTTTCATTTTTAGTTTTAATTTTAGAAATATTCTGAAAGAATAAATATAATTATATATTTTATAACAGGATCTCGTTAAATTTATTAACAAGAAATTTTATGAATCTCGTCCATTGAAATGATTTGGGCGGAGATATTCTGAGAGTTAGGTATTCCCAACTATTGACCCTTTTCTACCTGTACACAAGTTGGCCTTTTGTCTACCTATACTTTGCCATAAAAAAAGTAAAGAGATGCGGCAATTTCGGTTGATGTCCTTCGACCTTTATCCAATTCTTCACTATAATTACCATAAATTTTAACGCGTTCTGGTTTACAGCTGCATATTAATTTCTCATTTCTTGTCCTCATTTTCTACTCCATTCTTTTTATGCATCTTTATTACAAAGAATATATTTTTTCCTCCTAAAGTTGTTATTTTTACATATTTCCATGTCGGTATTATTAAATTTCTATTTTAGACAATAGGAATTATCTGTTTTTCTTCATTTTTATATATATCAGTAGGTCTAACAGAATCAATTCACTTTAAAGCATCGAGAAGAAACAATTGTAAAAATTTTGAACTGATAAAATACAAAATCTAATAAAATCCTACCACATTGGTAATGTTATAAAACAATTGGCCAAAATGCTTTGCTTTCCTCAGGTTGAATGCCAAACTTTTCTTTTGCGCCCGTCCTCTTATCATTTTATTTTTATTTTTATTTTTCAACTTTAACTTGTGCTATACCTGCAAGTTAAAGCTGAAAAATAAAAAAAAATGAAACTCTAAAAAAATGGTAGTAATACGGGCGCATTTATTAGGTAATACAGTGACCTACAATCAATAATAACTAGTTATTATTCACTTAAAGAAAGGGAAGTTTCCAGTATAAATTCTTGGAAGTAGCATCAAAAAATGATTAATATGAATTTTTAAAAATTGTAGATATCGATCAGGATTATGTGAGGTATATAAATAAATCAGAAATTAAATTGTACGCATGAGAAAATCAACAAACAAAAAGCTGAAAAGCTCTTATGTCCAGTGATTAACTACCCGTATTGAATCACTCGGTCAATTTGTCCGTTCATCTAACCAGACAAGATGTACCATGGATAAGATATAACCGCTATTCGATGATTTCTGCTTGAAAATAGCAGCGATATGATAGATTGGCTTCGTCTTTCTCTTTAGCTATCATCATTAAGAAACGGAAAGGATCGCTAATATCTTTTATGAGCAAATAGGTCTAAAATATATTGAGATTTATTTTTATTTTCATTTTAAGTATTAATTTTTCGAAATTTTATATGCTATTTCTAATTAGTTTAACTAAATAATTAATTAGTAGTCGTCTCCAATTGTTCTTTTAGTGATTAAGTATTAATTGCATTATTCTACAAAAACTAATGTTAGTATTTTAACAAGATAAAATTTTTCTATACGAATATATATAAAAGTTGCAAGTTGAAAATATTTGTATAAACCCACTTTACACGCTCCATAAAAGAAAACTGGTAGACGATGATGGACATCATCATCTTAAGATAGATACCATCAAGATGTAGAAGTCGTCCACTTGAGAATCAAAAATATTCAGCGATACAGACTAAAAAAAGAAAGGAAAAAGGGGCGAAAAAAACGCAGGCATCGGGTAGCAAGACATCTACATGAAGTTGATCGACTGCAGTCCGCTATTCGTTTCGCTCTGCTACCCATCCTGTAATGGTTTACTAGTGACCTTATCGTGATGTATAGTTTGTTCGTTTTGGTTTAGTCTTCCATAGGAACAAAAAAAAAGAGAGAGACAAAAAGGTAACCCATACCTTGTGAAGTAAACAAGAAACTACCAAATAGTTTCCGGCAATGAAGACAGAACAACTCTTTAAAGTCGATCAATGATAAGACAAACTTTAACTAGGCTTTTTTTCAGAAAAGAATTTCTAACGACAGATGTAAAATCATTAAACTAAATTAAAAAAGGCAAAAAAACAAATCGAAAATGAATTTATCTAAGTTTTTACGTATCATTTTTTTCTTGAAAAATGGAAGCGAGTGGAGTTTTAATTTCCAAAGAAATGAAACACGTCTGTTCAAATTGTAAAAAGTTGGAAAACAAATTGTCGACGGAGCCAGCTTCATTTCTTTGCAACGCCTCTATTGGCCACAGAGACCAAAGATCTAATTAAGCTTTATATACAGAAAAGAATAGGTGTATGGAGAACGATACTCGAACTGGAAAAGGATGGTAATTATGTGATTGCCAGAGATGGGTTTTAAGCGAAATCATCGTAGCAGATCATTAGTTACAGGGTAACTGTTTGATGATAGTAGGTGGCCATTAGATTTAAAATTTACATGCAGATTCTATGATAAATGACAGACTACGAACAAAATCCGATTAAGAGCCGAGATGAAAATTCTTTATCCTAATTTAGCAATGCGCCCGATTTTTACGGACGTACCATTGATCATTGTTTTGTCGATATAAATAATACTTGCTGATCTGATCGGGAGGATGGACTAGAGTACACGACCAATCATGAATCAATGGCGAATCCCATCTTGTACTGGGTGTGTCGAGTTTATGTGAGTCAAACCGAACTATCCCATTCCCCCTTGGTCTTTGGCTGACTTGGAAATAAAGCATTGTAACGGGCAACAATGTGCAGCTGCTAGACAATCAAAGAGACGAAATTTCCATAATTGGAATTTGTCCACTCCTATTTCGATGCTCTTCGGATAAATTGGCCAATTCGTACACAAAGTGTTTAACTCCTATTCTAAATAGCTTTATCCATTCAAGCGTTTATTGATAAGTAAAGAGGATTTGAGGGTATTTATTTCTTGACGATAAATCGAGTTCTATAAATTAAGAGAAATATTTTCCACAATACTTATTTATATCGAACAACCGCATTTATTTCCATGGTTTAAAGAAGAAACATCATTTTTCAATCGAATTGGAAAATGTCATATTTCTACATAATAAATTATTTAATCGTTACAAATTGAGAAATTTGTGAATGTATATTTTGTTCTTATTCTATAAATATATCCTTACGTATAATGTAAGCTATATATTTTCTAGCTGTTACGCTTTGAATGTATACTCGAAACTTTATTAATCAGTAGCGGATCAACATTAATTTTTGTCCAAAAGAGTAATTAGACTTTTTTATTCTTTGGAACAAAATTTTCATGACAGGAGTTAAATTTGATTTACAACATTTCCTAAATACGCAATCTATAAATACGTATCTACAATCGTCAAACCGAGAGAAAGGAGAAACGACGGCATTGTTTTCTATGAAATAAATTTATTTCGAAACGTTACATTCTATAAATTTATCTCTTACTTCCTTTGTTAAGAAATATCTCTAAATAATCCAATTTTGCCCCTATTCAGGTGAACGAACTCTTCATAATGCATCTACCAGAGATTCCTTCAACGAGTTGAAAATGGATTAGTTGTCGATATTAAGCAGAAAACTCTTGACAGAAATGGTGCAGCTAGAATATTAAAATGCTTTCAATTAGAACTCCCCTTGCTGAGATATTCAAATTTTCTTATATATGTTGATAAACTAAGTTAAAGACCGTGACATGGAGTTAATGTTAATATGCATCGTAAATACCAACAAGTTACGCAAAAGCTCAAGAATTTTTGAATGTAGTTGTATATTTTACATATTCAGCACGGTTAAGTAGTTGTAAAGTACACTTGGAAGATATTCGAGGTGGATATATTTTAAATTAAGAGGAGGTAATCATAAATTTAACCCAACTTACATACTCCCAAGTGTACCATTTTCGTACTTTTCTAGTTACGCGCTCTTTTAAGAGCCGTTTCGACCACTTTAACTCCATCTTCTAAGTGGTAAAAATGGAGGAAAACTTCAAAGAAATCTATGCTTATTAATTCAATTAGGTGACAAAAGAGCAATCTTTTCTAATTTTTTAGCTTGATAATTGTTTCTTTAACAAAACAGTGGAACGGAAATTATGCTAACTTTACAATGACAATATAATAATTTGTTTTTTAAGATAATCATTCAATAAGGTATTAAAGCTATAAAGGATTGAGGAGAAATCTGCAGGAATGAGAATTTACGACATACAAAACTGCATACCGTACACCGATTGAACGTACAAACAAAGGAATCTGTTCTTGCTTAATCTCTGGCAGTCACAAATCAATAAGAGAGACGGCAGGTGGAAAGACAGCT